TTGTGAAAAAATCGAAAGGCGTCAAAAAAAATATAGTCAAGTATAAAATTGCATTTGAAGATTACGTTGATTGTTTGAAAAATTTTAAAGAAAGTACCGTAACGCAGAGAACCATTCGGTCTTTTCAACATAATGTGTTCAGCATTGAACAATCAAAAATTGCACTAAGTCCAGCTGACGATAAACGTTTCTTAGTGCCCAATTCCTTCAATACTCTTCCCTGGGGGCATTATAGTCTTGATGTTGGTGACGAATTAAAAGTATAGTAATGTTGAGCATCAATATGTTTTCTCTCTATCTCTCTCTCTCTAACGCGTATATGTATGTACTTTGTCAATTAATTTATAAGGTCAATATTAATAATTGTTTGTATATTTGGAATAATGTATCATTTTATCTCTCTCTCTCTCTTACTCGTATTATGTATATATTATGTTAATTAATCAATTAGGTCACTAATAATAATTGTATATTTGAAATAATGTATCGTTCTATCTCTTTCTCCCTAACTTGTATTATGTATATATTATGCCAACTAATCAATAAGGTCACTAATAATTGTATATTTGAAATAATGTATTATCTATCTCTCTTTAACTCATATTATGTATATATTATATCAATTGATCAATAAGGTCACTGATAATTGTATCTATTTTAATAATCTATAATTTTTTAATAAACAGTTCAATATTTATTGTATTTGATTTTTATTTCCCCGACAGCATCCTGTTATACGACACAAAAAACTTGACACTATGTACTCTAAATGACTCCACGGATGTGACCCAGGTCGCTATTACGTCATCACAGAACCCGAACCCTGAATCGAACTTTGCACTATGTACTCTAAATAGCGCCACGGACGTGACCCAGGTCGCTATGACGTCATCACAGAACCCGAACCCTGAATCGAACTTTGCACTATGTACTCTAAATGGTGCCACGGACGTGACCCAGGTCGCTATGACGTCATCACAGAACCCGAACCCTGAATCAAACTTTGCACTATGTACTCTAAATGACTCCACGGACGTGACCCAGGGCGCTATGACGTCATCACAGAACCCGAAACGACTCGGAACAATCCCTTCCACGCAAACTCCATATTACAGGAACCTGTAATTGCAAGAATTCACCGCAATAACCCGGTATGACGTCATCACAGGTGACAGATGACGTTTGACAGGTGACGTTTGACAGGTGACGTTTGACAGGTGACGTTTGCCAGGTGACGGTTGACATGATGGCGGGAAAACATTTCCCCCCACCCCTTTTTCTGGTACCCATAGTAAAATCCGGGGGCCCCTTTTTGGGGGGCGCAGCCCTGTGGGCCCCCTTTTGGGGGGCGGAGCCCTGTGGGCCCCCTTTTTGGAGGGCGGAGCCCTACGGGTCCCAACCACAGCATCCTGTATTACGAACTTCACACTATGTACGCTAGATGGCGCCATGACGTTTGACAAGATGGCGCCGACGATGCATCCACCTTCGTGTCAACGATGGCGCATCCACCACGTGTCAAGAATGAAAGATTGAGGTTATGGTCGGAATTTGATGCTAGAACCCCTGTTGCTGTACTACTGATTGGTTGACATCATGGAATTACATATTGTGTTTTTATTCGTTAGATTGCATTACCTGACAGCTTAATTGCCTCACAGTTTATTGGAAAGTGAATAAACCGACTCTTATATTTATTAAGGAGGCTCTTGAAGAGCCGGGAATAGACAAATATTTGAGAATTGAAAGGCAGATATTAAGGGAAAATGGAGTAGACTTTAAGTACCTACCTATATGTTGTTTCAATTCCTATGAGAAGAAAACCATCATTCGGCTATATTCTATTTCACAGATTTAATGGGTTTGCCTATAGGTATTCTCTGTCTGATATAAAGTAAAAGCTTAAGCTTTTGCACATAGTTTAGAGCGGAAACATTGCCTAAATGAACTTCCAGATAAGGATAGAGATTGATCAATCCACCGACAAGCTGCGTGACCCAGGGATATGGCAATCATGACCTTTTCCTTTCTGGGACTGGAACACTTCTAACAGAGTAGACATAATGAGTAGGTACCTACCTATGCTATTATTTCCTATTTCAGAGGTATTCCGAAGAAAACAATTCAAGAGTCGGAAATAGACAGAAAAATTTGAGAATTTGTGTATTTCAATGATAGATATCTCTTCCCAAATCTTAATCGTCGCCTTTTTGGGTAGTAGGTACCACAGATCAGGGATCATTAAAGTGGCCCTTTTGAGCAACCCTAGTTTTACAATACAGTATGGAATAGAGTGGAGATGGATATATGTAGATATCTGATGGTGGAAATACATGGGGATCCACTGGGAATATGTGGAGATCCGGTAGAAATACATGGAGATCCAAGAACTTTGGCTGCAGTTATGTAAAATCGAAATAGCGTAATCGCATGCGCACATCATTTTAACTGATAGCGTGGTTGTTATTGTATATGGAGGTGCGGAGGAGATACACGGAGATCCACTGGAGATCCAGGGTTATGCCTAGAGATCCCATGATAACCCTGGAGAACAGTAGACGATATCTTTGAAGTTCCAAAAAGATCTGTGGAAATCCTTGGATATCCGTGGAGATCCAAGAAGTTTGGCTACAATACACGGCAGTCATCTGAGGATGGTAAGATGCAAACTGCTCATAAACACAAAAATGGAAAGAAAAAGGACGATGAAACAAACGACGAGGAGAGGAAATAGAGAAAAGATAGCAGAAAGAAGGGAAACATACAAACAAAGGCTGAAAGAAAACTTTTCCAACAATCCAGGGAAAACATGATGATAATAATAGGAGAATAACAAAAATTATAACAGAAACAGCAGAACAGATAATAGGTCTCTAGAGAAAACGCCGGATAAACTGTCGATAGAAACGAAACAGCTACTAGAGAAAAGGAGAAAACTGATAACCGAGAGTAGAAGAGACGCTATTGAATACATAGAAACCAACAGAACAGCAAGAAAAATGGCGAAACAGGATATACCAAAACATCAAACGAAACAAGTGCAATCCCTATTAGAACAGAACAAAGGACTAAATATATTTAAAAGACATAACACACCTAAGAAAGAGTTAACAAAAATAAAAGATGCGAAAAACAACATAGGTAGTAGAAGACAAACAATGGGTCGTATGAATAAAAACGAAGTACTTGCTACTACTACAAGTATTAGTATGTTCTTAATGTTCTACGTGGTATTTACTTCAAAACGAAGTAGATACTACATTTCGAAACTACCGGAAATTAGTAAATGCTTCTTTGTGAAGTAGATACTTCGAAGAATATACTAATACTTGTAGTAGTAGCATGTACTTCGTTTTTATTCATACCACCCAATAGATATTAAAAGTTGTGGAATCTTTCTATGGAGATCTGTACGAATCTAAAATAGTAAGCACAAGGACAAGAGAAGACAAAATACGAATCGTAAATGCAAACTCAGAAGAAATGCCCGACATAAATATAGAAGAACTGGAGAAAGGTTTATCCCAGATGGAAAATGGTAAAGCGGCAGAAATCACAGACCAGTCAGAGCGAATTTCATTGGTTTAAAACAGTCACAAACAGTCAGCTGTTTCTGACTGTTTTTGACTGTTTTAGTTCATTGGTTTTCTAAGCAAAAATGTGGCACCATGTCGGATTCCCGAAATTTTCCAGGATCCAAATCTTTTTTATTTTTTTGCGGGCTTAGGAAGCGTCGGAGCGAAAAACGCCTAGAGGCATTTTCGACGTATTTTTTTCTCCTCTATCCAATGGTATTTTTTATTTTTCGAAATTTGAACAGTAAGTGCAGGACGTGTATACCCCATTACACGCCCTTTTTCGAAACTGAGAGGATATATGGGCTAAAACCCCTCCGGTAGGTCATAGAGGGCTGAAACTTGGAATATCAATCAAACTAGAAACTAGGTCTCGAAGAGACCTCGGGTCGTCATTTTTATTTTTAGATCGCAAAGGGGGTCCATTCTCGAAATATCCCGTTTTTTATGAAAAAAAATGGAAAAGTGGGTTCCGACATTTCTCTGGAACTCCTCTATGACGTAGTGAAAGAAAGTCCCAAAACCAAGTTTTTCTCTCCTAACTTTTCCGATTTCCCATGAATTTTCACCATTTATTGAGTTTTTATTTTTTTTCTGATGATTTTCGATAGGGTTCCACATTCATCTTTATCAACATTGTGACCATCTTTTTTCAAAATCGGTACGGTTTTAGGACACTTTATGGCCGTTTGCACCGACCATTTTAAGGAAGCCTTAAGGATAAGTATTCCTTAGGGCCAGTATCTCAATGTTATACCTTAAAATCAAGACTTACCTAAGCTACCCTTAACGAAGGTGTAGGTGCTTGAAATCAGTTCGGTAGCTTAAGGGCCAGTATTTCAATGTTACCTTAAAATCAAGACTTAAGGTACCCTCAACGTTAAGGTGAACTTGAAATCAGTTCATTCAGGTGGCTTAAGATCCACCTTGAATTAAGGGAGCTTTGATATACGGTGAAACTTGTATCAAGAACGACTTAACGTTATTCTATACCTTTAAGGTGACATTCAAATACCGGCCTTAAAATCCGCACCTTGAATTAAGGGAACTTTGACTTTGATATACGGTGAAACTTGTTTTAAAGATGACTTAACGTTATTCTGTACCTTAAGGTAACATTGAAATACTGGCCCTTAAAATGACATTTTGAATGTCACTTTAAGGAATAGGTACTTATCGCTGATGCTTCCCTAGAATGGTCGGTGTAATCAGCAATTAGGGCCAAATTATAGACCAACTGGGTAAGTGTCTGGTTGTTACCTAACAAGTACTTTCTCTTTCTATTATCTATAGAGCATAGGAAGTACCTCTTAGGTAACAACCAGACGTTTACCAGTTAGTCCATAATTTGGCCCTTATGGCCCTTATAACTCAGCAACATTATCATAATAAGCTTGAAATTATTACCATAACAACAGAATAAAATCAAGATACAAACAAACGGAGTCACTTTACAATTTGAATCAAAATATACAGCAAAATGGTTAGTATCAAGCCTTATATACCAAATTCCTACTATACAGCATTATTTTCATTTAGATATTGAGCAGAGCCAAGCCTGCTTTGAAGGAACAAAACAAAAAATCCCCCAACATATCCCAATTTGAAGAGTTCCTGCTCAAAAGAGATTACACTGGAGCTATTACACTTTTAGAGGTAAGTATTGCAATAAACCCAAATATTAACTTCACAAAGAGTATTTTTTAGTTTAAAAAATACCCGGAAAGCAATCACAATGCCAACTTGTGGATGGCTTATTGCTACTTTCACAGGGGCGACTACAAAAACGCCCTACACATCTACGACAAACTCTACAAACAAAAAGCCGACGTTAAAAATTTGACCGTCAATATTGCTTGCTGCTATTTGTTTCTGGGTATGTACCAGGAAGCTCAAGAAATCCTAATACATGCTCCACCAACCGACTTAAAAACTAGACTTAATTTCCATATTTCTCACAAATTGAAAGACGAAGCCACTCTGATGGAAAACCACGAGAATTTGCAAGATATTTTGGAAGATCAATTGAGTTTGGCAGCTATACATTACTTGAGGGCTCACTATCAAGAGGCCATCGATATTTACAAGAGGATTTTGCTGCAAAATCGGGAGAATATCGCCCTTAATGTTTACGTGGCTTTGTGCTACTACAAATTGGATTACTATGATGTTTCGCAAGAGGTTTTGGCTCTGTATTTGAACAGATATCCTGATTCGGTGATTGCTACAAATCTAAAGGTGATATTTGATCTATAAGTTTGCCATTTGAGTTATCATTATCACTGGATAATTTCTCTTCTCTAAAGAATCTTTTTTATTCTAGGCTTGTAACACGTTCAGATTATACAATGGTACCGCAGCTGAAACTGAACTAAGATCAATAGTAGACCAAACTGCAAACGTAGGTTTTGGTTACGATTTGGTCAAACACAATCTGGTGGTGTTTAGAGATGGTGAAGATGCAATGCAGGTGTTTCCACCTTTAGTAGACGTAGTACCAGAAGCCCGTCTCAACTTAGTGATTCATCATTTGCGCAACGACGACATAAAAGAGGCTTATTTTTTGTTGAAAGACGTCCAACCGACAGTACCTCAAGAATACATCCTCAAAGGTGTCGTGAATGCGTCTTTAGGCCAAGAAGTTAACAGTGAAGAGCACATTAAAACTGCTGAAGAGTGTTTTCATTTGGTGGGAAGTTCTTCGAGCGAATGCGATACTATTCATGGTAGACAGTGTATGGCGGCTGCCTTCTTTTTAGCTGGGCAATTTGAGGATGTTTTGGTTTACTTGACTAGTATCAAGAGTTATTTGCATTCAGGTACCTAGATATTCATTCATGATTCATGTACCTACCTAAGTGTATTAGAAAGATTCATATAGTCTGAAGTTTTGTGGGTCCCAGATGATCAATTAAAGACAAAACTCAGATTCATTTTCAAGAATCTCTTCTATGATTTCACCTTCTATCTACACTCCAGCTAGCCAATAGAAATCAATGATCAATCAATACTATTTTTTAGACGATACGTTTAATTTTAACTTTGCCCAAGCCAAAGCAGCCTGTCATCAGTTCAAAGAAGCAGAAGAATGTTTCCTTTTGATCCAAGACGCAAAAATCAAAAGCGAATTTGTCTATATAACCAATTTGGCCAGGTGTTTTGTGATGAACAAAAAGCCTCAAGAAGCTTGGGACTTGTATTTGAGGTAATACCTACTATAGAGTCAAAATAATGTATTATTATCAAGCTTCTATTTAGAATGGATAATTCTCCAGAAGGCTTCAATTTGTTGTTACAAATTGCTAACGACTGTTATAGTATGGGCGAGTTTTGGTACGCAGCCAAAGCCTTCGATATGCTGGATCGTTTGGATCCGAATCCGGAGTTTTGGGAAGGGAAACGTGGGGCTATTGTTGGAGTTTTTCAGGTGAATATTTCTATAATAAATGTATTTGTGTTTTATGTTTATTTTATTTTTAGGGAGTTGTAGCTAAAAAGTTATCGGAAGATTTGCTGAGCGACGTTTTGCAACTTTTAAGGGCCAGCAATTCCAGTCAGGCCGAGCCCATTGCTAAAGTTATAAGGAAATGGGCAAAAGAACAACGTCTGAGCATTACCTGAAATATTTTTTAAAATTTTTCTCATAAATATTTGTATAAGGTTTTTAGAAAATTACCATTAATCCTTATGTATGACAATTATTTAAAGCATCATTAAAATAAATCCATAGAGATAAATCCCTATTTGCAAACACGACAATGTCAACTGGTTATTTATTTAGACTTTTGATCATAGGAGTTTCACAACTGGGCTGTAAAAAAATAAATTAATAATGCTCCTATTTTAGAAGAGCCTTAACGATAAGTATTCCCTAAAATGACATTTTTACATGGAGAAATGTCAGAATTATTAAGGAATACTTATCGTTAAGGCTCCCCTTTAATTAAATCAATAAAATAAGCGATTTAGATAAGGCTGTACCTACTTAAAGAAATTTTCAGAAATTATTTTTTATCAGTACGTTTGTTTAAGATTATTTCTTGAAATTTAGCTATTTACAAAGTTTACTGCGACTCAGCATAGTCACCTTTTGATTAATTTAATTTCAGTTTACCTAAATACTTTTAATATGTTATCAAACACGTACAGTTGTAATTTCATTATAATTCTTGGATATTTGAATAAAAAATGCCACAACATTTCTTGAAATTATTTTCTTCATATTTATTTTTTGATATTTATAATATTCTTTGAATTATTAAGTCGACTTTGGTTTAAACGTAAATGTCAAGTTTCGCCATTTGATGTTGTTCTTAGAAGGAGATCAATGATAAAGGCTTATACAGTGGCTTATTTTTGTTGAGTCAAATAACAATGGGTAAAATTATTTTCTATTATCGGCTCCCGTGAAAGATTCTCTACATTAAGAGCCAGGGATAATGAAATATGTATTGATCACCCTATATCTTCACAAAGTGGTAGTGGTGAAATTGTTTCCGACTACCAGCTTTCGTCAAAGATTTCCTACAAGAGCTAGGAATGATAAAATATTGTTCACTCTGTATCTTTATACAGTGGCTTATTTTTGTTGAGTCAAATTATAGTGGGTAAAATTGTTTTCTATTACCGGCTCTCGTGAAAGATTTTCTACATTAAGAGTCAGGAATAATGAAATGTTGATCACTCTGTAGCTTTACACAGTGGTGGAATTGTTTTCGGTTACTAGCTTTCGTGGGAGATTTTCTACTACAAGAGTCGTGTATAATAAAATATTGTTCACTCTGTATCTTTGTACAGTGGCTTATTTTTGTTGAGTCAAATTATAGTGGGTAAAATTGTTTTCTATTACCGGCTCTCGTAAAAGATTTTCTACATTAAGAGTCAGGAATTCATATCTTTACACAGTGGTGGAGGTGGAATTGTTTTCGATTACTAGCTTTCGTGGGAGTTTTTCTACTACAAAAGCCGTGAATAATAAAATATTGTTCACTCTGTATCTTTGTACAGTGGCTTATTTTTGTTGAGTCAAATTATAGTGGGTAAAATTGTTTTCTATTACCGGCTTTTGTGAAAGATTTTCTACATTAAGAGTCAGGAATAATCAAATGTTAATCACTCTGTATTTTTACACAGTGGTGGAATTGTTTTCGATTACTAGCTTTCGTGGGAGTTTTTCTACTACAAGAGCCGTGAATAATAAAATATTGTTCACTCTGTATCTTTGTACAGTGGCTTATTTTTGTTGAGTCAAATTATAGTGGGTAAAATAAATTGTTTTCTATTACCGGCTCTCGTAAAAGATTTTCTACATTAAGAGTCAGGAATAATCAAATGTTAATCACTCTGTATTTTTACACAGTGGTGGAATTGTTTTCTATTACCAGCTCTCGTCAAAAATTTTCTTCATTGAGAGTCTAAAATAATCACACATTGACCACCCCATAGTATCTTTGCACAGTGGTGGAATTGTTTTCAATTACCAGCTTCTGTGAAAGATTTCCTACAAGAGCCGGAAATAATAAAATAATGTTCACTCTGTATCTTTATACAGTGGCTTATTTTTGCTGAGTCAAATTACAGTGGGTAAAATTGTTTTCTATTACCAGCTCTCGTCAAAAATTTTCTTCATTGAGAGTCGAAGATAATCACATATTGACCACTCCATAGTATCTTTACACAGTGGTGGAAATGTTTTCAATTACCAGCTTTCGTGAAAGATTTCCTACAAGAGCCGGAAATAATAAAATATTGTCCACTCTATATCTTTATACAGTGGCTTATTTTTGTTGAGTTAAATTACAGTGGGTTGAATTTTTTTCTATTATAAAGTATTTCATTTCTAACCCAAACTCATAAACTTTCTCTCTTCAAGAAATTTAGAAGAAAACGAAAATTCAAGAGCCAAGAATAAACAAAAATTGAAAAATGAAAAAAAGAAATTCAAGAAAAATTGGGAAAATGGTTTCCCAGTGGACCATTTGGTAAATATCTAGAATCCCATGATGGTCTACAAAATGTTGCCTATTTCACCTCAAAAACAAAAGCATGAGAACATAAATAAAACGCTGATAAATAATTAAAATAATAAATAATTTAATATTGTTCTAAAGAAATAAATACATTATCCTAAAACACTCTCTCAGATTTAAATTAAGTCAACATCCTTCCTTATAGGCGAATATAAATAATACATTTACTTAAGAAAAAAACAGAAACGATTACAAAATTGTTACACTCATAAATAAATAATAAAATAGATGAATGAGAAAAACTATTTGGTTTTCCTCGGTCCCTGCTCGGGCACCAAATTGTCCCTGCTCGGGCGCCAAAGGAAATATTTTTAAAAAAATTAAAAGGAATTCTTTACCATCAGTATTTTTCCACAAAAAATGAAAAATAATTACATCGATGTATTTATCTGTTTGTTAATCAGATTGTTGCCTTTACACGACTAGAAAAACAATATCTAGAATGGCCAACTTTATATTTAGTTTGGCCCCAAAGGCCAATATGGCCCATATACTTTCTTCTAAGGAGATTCTAAAAGTGCATCAGATTAACAGGCAGAGAATACATAAATTTGTTATTCTAGCTAACAATAAAACAAAGGCCCTTAAGGATTTTATCCATAAAGGCCCTTAGAAGGCGATATAGTACCAATAAGAGAGCACAATTATTATTATTCTCGGTACTAAATTTTTTTACAAATACTATTGTGGTTCATTATATTTTCATCCCCTCGGTATGTATAAGGTACCGATGTACTACTAACAGTCTTTGGTTATTATCTAAGTCAAATCGATCATATGGAATGGGGATAATCGCCCAAATATGATATAAGAGAGTTAGGTAATTCTAGTTGTTTATACGGAGGGGGTAGGAGTGGTATCCGAGGCTTGCCGGACAATTGTATGGCTTTATGGACCGCTAATCGTGCTAGATGTTTCAGGCTGGACATTTCCGATTTTTTCTTTAATGGCGTCCGGATCATTATCGGCGAGTACCATTTGCCTTGATTGTCCACCCACACTTGTTGGATGTTTGGTTCTGAAAATAAATATATTTTGTTAGAAAAAGTAAGTTTGAATTTTTCAAAATCTTGACATGATCATGAACAATTGCCCATATCTTTGTCAAATTTCAAGCAAATCGAAATAAATCATATACCATTGGAAAGAGCATTAAAATTGAGTAATTGAGCCTCAAAGTTGACTTTTAGTCTGAATTTTGTCGGAAACTTCAAACCCAATTTTCTCAAAAACTATAAGCTTGGGAATATTGTAAATTGCAGGTCTTTTAGAACTTGATAAGATCTACAAATGCTGAAAATTTCAATGCAATTTGCTCAAAGGAGACTGAGCAAGTGAGGTTTGAATATTTTGAAATCAGAATTCAAAGGGGTACCCCTTATGAAAAACTCGATTTTCTTATTTTTCAGTTTTGCTCAATTCTGATTTTACCAGTCGATAAAGTGGGTCAAAATTAGTAGAAAACAATCCTCACATGATTTCCAAATGGCCATTCTAAGCTGAAAAAAAATTTAAAAGGAAATCCCATTTTTGGCTTTGGAAAATTTTCAAAATCTTGACATGGTCATGAACAATTGCACATATCTTTGTCAAATTTCAAGCAAATTAAAATAAATCATACACCATTGGAAAGAGCATTTAATTCTCTATAAATCTGTGAAAAATTGAGTTTGATAGCTTCAATAGTTTTTGAGCAATTGAGCCTCAAAGTTGACTTTTAGTCCGAATTTTGTCAAAAACTTCAAACTCAATTTTCTCAAAAACTACAAACCTGGGAATATTGTAAATTACAGGTCTTTTAGAGCTTGATAAGAGCTACAAATGCTGAAAATTTCAATGTAATTTGCTCAAAGGAGACTGAGCAATTGGGGTTTGAATATTTTGAAATCAGAATTCAAAGGGGTACCCCTTATGAAAAACTCGATTTTTTTATTTTTTAGTTTTGCGCAATTCTGACTTTACCAATCGAAAAAGTGGGTCAAAATTAGTGGAAAACAGTCCTCACATGATTTCCAAATGGCCATTCTAAGCTGAAAAAAAAATTAAAAAGGAAATCCTATTTTTGGCCTTGGAAAATTTTCAAAATCTTGACATGGTCATGAACAATTGCTCATATCTTTGTCAAATTTCAAGCAAATTAAAATAAATCATACACCATTGGAAAGAGCATTAAATTCTCTATAAATCTGTGAAAAATTGAGTTCGATAGCTCCAATAGTTTTTGAGCAATTGAGCCTCAAAGTTGACTTTTAGTCTGAATTTTGTCAAAAATTTCAAACTCAATTTCCTCAAAAACTACAAACCTGGGAATATTGTAAATTACAGGTCTTTTAGAGCTTGATAAGAGCTACAAATGCTGAAAATTTTAATACAATTTGCTCAAAGGGGACTCAGCAATTGAGGTTTGAATATTTTGAAATCAGAATTCAAAGGGGTACGTACCCCTTATGAAAAACTCGATTTTTTTATTTTTTAGTTTTGCTCAATTTCGACTTTACCAATCGATAAAGTGAGTCAAAATTAGTGGAAAACAATCCTCACATGATTTCTAAATGGCCATTCTAAGCTGAAAAAAAAATAAAAAGGAAATCCTATTTTTGGCCTTGGAAAATTTTCAAAATCTTGATATGGTCATGAACAATTGCACATATCTTTGTCAAATTTCAAGCAAAAAAATAAATCATACACCATTGGAAAGAGCATTAAATTCTCTATAAATCTGTGAAAAATTGAGTTTGATACCTCAAATAGTTTTTGAGCAATTGAGCCTCAAAGTTGATTTTTAGTCCGAATTTTGTCAAAAACTTCAAACTCAATTTTCTCAAAAACTATAAACCTGAGAATATTGTTAATTACAGGCCATTTAGTGCTTGATAAGAGCTACAAATGCTGGAAATTCCAATGCAATTTGCTCAACGGTTACTGAGCAATTGAGGTTTGAATATTTCGAAATCAGAAGCCAATCGTAACCGCTCAAATTGTGAAAAAAATCGAGGATTCAACCAAGATAATTGAAAACCAGGATTACTTATTTGATGTGGAGTTCCATAAATCCAATAAATCCTAATGATTTTTTTAAAAATTTCCATTCCGAAAGAAATACTTTTTCTATTCCAAGCACTTGATTCAAGAGCCGGGAAATTTTAAAAAACTAAAAATTGCGTCAGAATTTTCTAAAATTTCACCACTACACCTTTTCTATCATATGTATTTCTTCGTACCTACCAGTAAGCACTTTTATGTATGTAATTATACAATTTATTGTGTGTATATGTATACTCAATGTATGTCTATTCCTGGCCCTTGAATTTGTTGAAATGAAAAATATTCTAGAGCCTGGAATAGGAAAAACATGAACCAACCAACTGCGTAGTGGGTTGGAAAATAAATTGAAAAAAATTAAAAAAAGATGCTTACTTTTCCTAAGTTGTTCGCACTCGTGCGTATAATGCTGGATAAGATCTATGACGTTAGGAAATGCCGGCATCACGCCTTGCAAGTGCGTCTGCGCGTCTAACTTAAAATAACCATTCGTGTAGTGGAGCCTCACCGAAGTGGGGCCTCGGTCCGTTTGAACACTTAGTGAAAAAAGGAACTTCGGGTTGCTGGAATTTCTTATTAAGAAGGTACCGACCTGAAACATACAAGTTATCATGAGATTTGTAGAAAAAACATTTAATTATTATAATCAGTACTTTTGGTAGAGTTACTTATCATGAAATTGGTGGTGAAACATTTATTTAAAGTATCAGAACTTTTGGTACCTTAAGTTATCATGAGATTGGTAGCAAAAGACTCAATAACTTATCAGCACTTTTGGTACAGTTTTCATGAGAATGGTAGAGTTAAATATGAGATTGGTATTGGTGTAACTTACCTCGGTATCTTTAAGCATTTCGTGAGACTCGTCGAAGCTGATGCCTTCGTAGAACCAGCCTGATTGGCGAAGAGCCTGAACGGTATCTCTTAACTGTTGGAATTCGGCGTCCTGATTGGTCGCCTGAGGCGGTGGCAGCGATTGCAAGGGCAGCGGGAAACCGAAAGAGAGCGGAGTGCTCGGTGAAACCTGGAAATAGAAAGTTGAGTTTCAGTCAAAGTTTTCTACCATCCAAAAACTCTGTACAAGACAATGAAAAGTTTATTCAAAAGATTTTATTAGCCAGAGATCAGTTATAAACTCATTATTTAATGTTAGAATATATTGATTCTATTCTTGAAACTATGCAGAATAATTCCATCAGATTTTGTATCTTTGTTGTGATCACATGCAATTGTATAAGAATAGATAAAGACACAAGATTCATTTAGAATCAGATTCAAGAATGAAGGCCCAGAGCTGGGATTTTGTAACAAACAATCTGTTTTTGCGTCTTCTTTCTATCAATTTCTATGTAAGAGAAGAAGACAGCAATTGCGATAAACAGGGGAATAACATCCCTATTTTCTTATTTTTTTCATCTCAATTTTGTGTTTTATTCCAGGCTTTTGAATTTCCATAATTTCTTAGCCGTATTCGATTCTTAATGCAGTTCAATTCAGATCGGTTCACTTTCTACATCAAACGAACTGACAAGAGTGACAAGTGATCCAATTGAGCCTACTTTTTTCGTTCAGATCGATCTGAACTGAACTGCGTTACGAATCGAATATGACTCTTGTTCTTTCAAATTCATGAGTGTTTTCAATTTTGTTCTATTCCAGAAGTTCTAGAATTTTCTTTACTTGCAAAAAAGTCAGTGGCGCACTTTTAAACTATTAATACTAACCAAATTGATTTGCGCCGACGCAGGTCCGGGACTCGGCAGAGAGGGCGGTGGTGCCGGATTGACGCCGGGCGCCGGATTGTCGACGAGACCGCCGCCGCTGAGCACCAGCGACCGGCGGCAACAAGCGAATTCGTACTTGCACTTGGGACATACTGCGTTTTGGCTACAGCTGCGCATGTCTCGCGGCATCCATGCCCAACCCGGGAAATCAGTCTGGAAAACAAAAAGAATCAGATCAGTAGAGTTCGAAAACTATCGATCAATTATTGTTATCGATAGTTGGATTTTTTACTATTGAAAAATGTGTAATGACGTCTAGATTTCTTATGACATTTGACAGTCAATGTAATTTTTTATTGCTTTACTATCAGGGCGAATTCTCGTGAGCGTAAGTTGACATTTCTGGCGTAATCACGTGATAATATGGTGTAATTTGATTGGTAAAATATCCAACATGGCAAATGTTTAACGAATAAAACCCAACCATTTTATCACGTGATTACGCCAGAAATGTCAACTTACGCTCATGAGAATTCGCCCTCAATGTTGATAGTCAAAGTGATTGAAACATGTCATTATATGACAGTAAATTATTGTTTTGACAGTCAGAAAGTTGAATATGACAAGGGCATCATTTCCATTTTAACTTTGACATTTCAGTTGTCAACCTGTTACTGTCGGTTGCCAGTTCAGTTTTTTACTATCGAAAGATGTGAAATGACGTCTGTCTTTTTTATGATATTTGACAGTCATTTATATATTATTTTTATATATATGCTTTACTATAAATGTTGATGTCAAAGTATCAGACAAGTGATTGAAACGTGTCATTATATGACAGTAAATTATTGTTTTGAAAGTCAGAAAGTTAATGATTACATGTCTCCTGTCTCTTATCATCAGTTGTCACTTTTGTCAATCTGTCACTGTCGGTTTTCGGTTCAGTTTACTATCGAAATTGATCGATTCTTCCAGAAAAACTATAGTTGGATTTTTTACCAGTGGCGGATCCACGGTAGGGGAAGGGGCGTGTAAAGGAAGTAATTATCCCCTCTAGAGAGGCCTAAGAAATTTCAATTATTGAAAAAACACACAAAAAAGTGCGTTTTGGGCGTGGCACTCGAAAAAAAATTCTGTCTACCACGAGTCGTTACTAGTGAAGCTCAACCCCCCCCTACCCCCAGAATGGTGTTATAGATCCGCAATCCGCCACTGTTTTTTACTATCAAAAGATGTGAAATGACGTCTGTCTTCTTTATGACATATGACACTCATTTATATATACGATACTAACGGAAATCGAAGAAAAAACTAAATACAAAACTTGTAGCTAAATATGAGTACTACATTCCTAAATTATTTTCCAGTATACAGGGTGGCCCAATAAGTATGGGTGATACAAAGTTATGTTTTTCCAAATGACTCCCCCTATATATTATGACATTTCTGGATTCTGTGGAAAATTCTAGACATATTTCATGTACAATGTCAATGTACAATCTTCAACTTTTTCGGAAATATTGACAGTTTAAAATTGTTTTTCTGATGAGATGAGAATGTATGATTGGTTTTGCTGTACAGTTAACCGTTCAGGTTTTACAGTCTGTCAAAGATGCAAAAAAGTCAACTTTCAACTGTCTTTGCTGTACAATTAACCGTTCAGGTTTTACAGTCTGTCAAAGATGCAAAAAAGTCAATTTTCAACTGTCAATATTTCCAAAACAGTTGAAGATAGGTATATGACAGTATACATGAAATATGTCTAGAATTTTCCGCAAAATCCAGAAATGTCATAATATATATACAGGGCTAGTCATTTAAAAAAACATAACCTTGTGTCACCACTACTTATTGGGCCACCCTGTATACTGGAAAATAATTTAGGAATGTTGTACTCATGCTTATTTACAAGTTTTGTATTTACTTTTTTCTTCGATCTCTGTTAGTATAGGAGATATGGACTCCCGCGCTCTTAGTAACTCACCCTGTATATCAAGGCAAAAACATATATTTTGAAAAAAAAATGAAAAAAACAAGAAAAAATAGTTATTTATACACCAAGTGAGTTAAATGAATGTTTATTCATGAGAAGAAAGTTTAACCCACGAGCCCCAGCGAGTGGGTTAATTTTCTTCGAATGAATAAACATGTTAACTCACGTGATGTATACAAAATTTTATCCCATTTTGTAAAAATTTCAAAAATAAAGTACAAGGAAAAATGCCGGGAGTGAGTTAAAAATATTTTAAATCACTGAGGTTTCAGATTTTTAGTTGGGCAGAGTGACTTAAAATGCCGAGAGTGAGTTAATAGTTATTTATTATACAAGAGGGTAAAAAGATGCTTTACCTGTGAGTGGAAAATGTTGATTCACGAGCGACGAAGGAGCGAGTGGATTAATTCCACAAACAGGCAAAGCTTTTTTACCATCGTGTGTAATATTCTATTTTATTCTTGAGCAACTTTTGATTTATCACAATTACTAAAATCATAAACTAAAATGTGCTAAAATTTTACATAGATTATGACAAATTGACAAAGTACCTAACAAACTGACACATTTCTTCAAAAACACTATAATTATTATAAAAGATTTGAACAAGTGGGTAAAATTGACGTATGAGTGGGTAAAATTGAGGTATGAGTGGGTAAAATTGACCAATGAGTAGGTAAAAATTGTTCGATTTCACTACTTCAAATAAAGTGTTACTTTAACAACGAGTTTTGAGTCGATTAAATGATAGTTTACCATTCGCGATAGAATAAAATATTTTTAAATCACTGAGGTGATAAACGTCTACTTACCTTTATTAGGCAATTCAAACCACGTGACATTCAAGATGGCGTGGCGGCCACACATGGGCCAAAAAACACAAAAAAATATCTAGTTTCTGCCCAAATTAATAGTTTAGGTACCTAGTCAACAAATATTTTATTAAATAATGAAAATCAAAGTTGTAAGCAAAACTGTATGCAAAATAATTTAAAATACGCATAAAAACATATCCAAAACAAACTTACTTGGCCGCCACGCCACATTGAATTTTCCTTTTTGACAGATGGATTGAATTGCCTAATTGTTATGCGTTCAATAATGTCATTTTTAAACGTCAAAATCGGATAAAAAAAACTTAACCCATTTAGGAGATATTTGGGATCCCCTTTAGACTATCATGACAAAAAAATTCAAAACAGCCTTTATTTTTATTTTTTTAAATTTCAAAGCATCCTAGCTGGAAAACGAAGAGCTTGGGAGAAAAATCTTGAATACAAAACTTGTAGATCTTATTGAAAACTACAAAAAAGCTTATTAGAGTTACCCCTCCACGAACCACCGTTTCTGAGAAAATCGACCTCAAAACTTTCAATACATTTTCAGAGAAATTTCAACTTTGACGGCTGATATCTCGGAGACAGAAACAACCTGGAATATCAATTTAAAACAGTTTTGTAGGTAATTTATTTCTCTTTCGAAGGACACCTGATTCGAGACAATCTGTTCGAAATTACCGAAGTTATAAGCGAAAAAGTGGCGCCGTGTCGGGTCCTCAAAATTTTCCAAGATCAAAATCTGTTTTATTTTTTTCCGGGCTTACAAAGCGTCGGAGCTAAAAACACCAAGAGACATTTTCGACGTATTTTTGGCTCCTCTATCAGGTGGTATTTTTCATTTTTCAAAATTCGGGAAAGTAAATGCAGGGCGTGTATGCACCATTACACGCCCTTTTCCAAAAGGGCCAAAACCCCTCCGGTAGGTCTGAGATGGGTGGAACTTGGAATATACAACTTTTCTGGACCCCTTTCATCTATATTTTCATCCGAATCGGCCAAAAAAAATATATTTAGGGGCCCCAAGGGGGCTTTGCTTTCCAGATAGGCCCCCCGTATTTTTTTTTTCGATAAAACTCGTACTCGTACCAAATTTCAGCTCGATAGGACCATCGGTTCGCCCTCAGCGAAGCCAGTGTATTGGTACATCATGATATATTCATGTGATGTAAACAACAACTTATTGAAAATACAGGCTTAAATACTATACAACAAAATATTCAAACTGTTTTTTAATGTAGGTATAGCAAAAACAACGAAAACATAAAACATACAATTTTGATATGAAAATAAATAGTTGGGTACTCAATATTTGTTTAGGTACCTACCCACTACATACAATACCTAAATCACTACCCTCATAGAAAATTCACTATGGGGGCTCAAGCTCCCATTGCCCCTATGGTCCAGCGCCTATGTATTAAACTATTGAATAATAATTGAGAAGTAGGTAGAGACAGTAAAATATAAAATAAACTCTTCTTCTTAATTATCTAACCACTCAAGCACTTAGTTTTCAAAGGAAATAACCCCAAAATAATAATTTTTCACATTTGAAAATGTAAGGAAAATGCACTGTCATAATAAAAAAAAACAAACCGATCAAGGACTGCGTGACGTCACTCGCATTCGTCCATGTTCGATATTTATATGAATTTATGTCTTATGGCCATGGGATTGAGCAATCCTGTAGAGTTTACGATTCTTGGATTCTTCCAAAAAACTATCGATTGCGTTTGTTAAAGTAGAATATGTTCTATCGATAGTATTCTACTAGTCCAGAGAAATTAGGAAAAATCGGAAACAAAGTATAGTCTGACAAGTGATAACTTAATAGTGACGAAAGGGGGAAGGAAAGTGGGGCGTAGCCAAATAAAAATATTTGCTGACGTCTCCTACACAACCATATTGTTGGATTCAGTGGCTCCGAAGTTATTAAAAAAATAAAACAATGAAATTATTAGAAAAAAACTCTATAGTTTAACCAATTACCACGCCACTGTGCTGTCAATCAGGCTCTAACCAATAGAATCATGCCTCTGATTAATCACGCCTCTCCACATCCATCGTTTCGCAATGTTGCCGGATTTTTTTCTATTTCAAAATACTACACATACACATCCATATTGGAAAAAAAAAGTATCTATTAAGCATCTTATTTAATATTGTTTCCTTTAAGTTTGACAAGGCAGCAAATTCTTGCCAGACTATAGGTACCTGGAACACAAAGTTTCTATGTGGAATTTGTCCACTCAAAATTTTTCCCTACTTATATTTAAAATTGTCCGAAATTCTTCAAATTTTTCCAGGTCATTGAAAAGTTTTCCCAATTAAGCTTCTTCTTGAACGTTTTCTGTCGTATTTAGTATTTAGAAAATTTCAATTCAATTAGGTTTCCTCCAGTTTTAAGGAACTCCGACCAATACATTTTTTCTACAAGCGTACGTAAAACCGCACCTTTCTGCACGCAATTTAGGTCATTATTAAATTAAAAATACATATCTGAAATTAGGTACAAATATTAACTTTTCGTGTTTCTAACTTATGCGGAAAGTCTCTTTTCCTTATATTACTTGATTGCTTGACAAACTGCAATCAAGTGCGGAAAAAGTGGTACTTTCCGCAATAGTTAGGAAATATAATATACTATATCAAATATTGCAATGTTTCCTTTGTAAAACTTTGAAGGTTTTCAGGCAAAACATACAGAAAGCTCAAGTTAATTTGAGATTTAAACAAGAGCAAATTGTTGATTTTTTGTTTGTTTGAAAAAGGTCTGTCATCATTTTGATTAATATTGAAGATTTATGATTTGATTAGCTGGTCGATTTTTGATTATTCCCGGCACTTGATTAATTAAACCAGGAAAGAATTTTCAAAGTTTCCATCGTCGTGTCTTCAAAACTTAGAGAGTATTTAAGCAAAGTCTCTTGAAATTTTATTTCAATCTTCAGAGGTCTTGAATAAGTAGAATATTTGAAATCTATGCTCTGAAACTTTTAAAATGAGTCTCTGAAGCCATCAGTATTTTTAAAGTCTTAGAAGTTCAAGCTTGTAGAGTATTTCAGTCTTTGAAGTCTTGAGAAACTTTCAAAATTTTCAATATCTTCGCAGTATTTGAAGCATCAACATCTCGGAGACTATTTGAGATAAATGAATCAATTTTAATTTTGTCTTATAAATATGCATTAGAATTTGTAGAATATTAATTGAATTATGGGCGATTTTGTAAGGCAATGTCGGAGGATCAAATTTTTTTAGGGTAAAAAATGCAAAAATCATTTTTTACTCACCCTAAAACCTCGAAAAGAGAAATCATGAAAATGCTTTTCCACTAAATTTGACCCCCTTTTTCGATTGGAAAAGTCAAAAATTGAAAAATTTAGAAAAATCAAAATTGAAATTTTGCTAAGGTTTATTGTAAGAAAATTTCAATTTTCAAATATTTCAAAGGGCCATATTTTGAAAACCAGAAAAGCTATTTGCACGAAATTTTGTCTTATTATAGATCTCGATTGGGGCTTCAAAAAAAGTTATTTGGGGCACCGAGCCCTAGGGCTTCGTTTTCGAGATAATCAGCTTTGAAGGTTTTCCAAAATATGAGACAAGGTTTCAACTTTGAGGCTCAATATCTCGAAAACTATTTGAGATAAATAATTCAATTTTGTCTTATCTTAAAGAGCATGTAATTCTGATTAAGAATACATGAATATTCATTGGAATTTGTGAAATAATAAATGAGTTATGGGCGATTTTGTGAAGCAATGTCGGGGATGATCAAAATTTTCCAGGCCAAAAAATGCCAAAATCATTCTTAATTTTTTACAGGCCCTGAACTCTCGAAAAGGGAAATCATAAAAATGATTTTCTACTAAATTTAACCCCCTCTTTCGATTGGTGAAGTCAAAAATTGAAAAATTTAGAAAAATCAAAATTGAAATTTTTCTAAGGTGTATGTAAGGAAATTTCATTTTCAAATATTTCAGACGGCCATATTTCGAAAACCAGAAAAGCTATCGGTAGGAAATTTTGTCTTATTGTAGATCTCGATTGGGGCTTCAAAAAAAGTTATTTGGGGCACCGAGCCCTAGGGCTTCGTTTTCGAGATAATCGGCATTGGAGATTTTCCAAAATTTGAGACATAGTTTCAACTTTGAAGCTCAATATCTCGGAAACTATTTGAGATACAAGATTCAATTTTAATTTATTTTGAAGAGCGTTCAATTCTGATTAAGAATATATGAATATGCATCAGAATTTGTAAAATAATAATTGAGTTATGGGCGATTTTGTGAGACAATGTCAGGGATGATCAAAATTTTTCAGGGCAAAAAATGAAAAATGATTTTTAATTTTTTACAGGTCCTGAAACCTCAAAATGAAAAATCACGGAAATGCTTTTCTACTAAATTTGACCCCCTCTTCCGATTGGTAAAGTCAAAAAATGAAAAATCTAGAAAAATCAAAATTGAAATTTTTCTAAGGTTTATGTAAGGAAATTTCATTTTCAAATATTTCAAAGGGCCATATTTTGAAAACCAGAAAAGCTATTTGCACGAAATTTTGTCTTAATGTAGATCTCGATTGGGGCTCCAAAAAAGGTTATTTGGGGCACCGTGCCCTAGGGCTTCGTTTTCGAGATAATCGGCTTTGAAGGTTTTCCCAAATTTGAGACAAAGTTTCAACTTTGAAGCTCAATATCTCGGAAACTATTTGAGATATAGGATTCAATTTAGTTTTATTTTGAAGAGCGTTTAATTCTGATTAAGAATATATAAATATGCATTGAATTTGTAAAATAATAATCGAGTTATTGGCGATTTTGTGAAGCAATGTCGGAGATGATCAAAATTTTTCAGGACAAAAAATGCAAAAATCATTTTTAATTTTTTACAGGGCCTGAAACCTCAAAAATAAAAAACACAAAAACGCTTTTCTACTAAATTTGACCCCCGCTTTCGATTGGTGAAGTCAAAAGTTTAAAAAATTAGAAAAATCAAAATCGGTCATTTTCAATAATGTTGAACCCCCGGTTGAACCATGAGCCGGAAATAATTATTCAGTTTAATATTTCTTCTAGCACCGAAACTATTGAAGTTAGCTCAAAACCGTAAACTAGAGATTTGTAGAGAATTTCATTTGCTTTAATTTAAGCCTAATTAGGTTGAAATCGGATTGAAATTAACGGAATTATAAGAGAAAATGTGCATCGATGTTTGTATGAAACTTAGCTAAAGATGTCTTCAATAATAGAATATTCTCTAACCAAATGAACAAAGAAATCCTATAAATGAATCAGACATTTTTCCAGCTAAATACATAGATAACAACAAAATTTTTCCAAAAATAGTAATCAATAGATACTTTCCAAGAATACAATCCTTATCAAAAAAAATCATCATCCAATACAAACAATTATGGATTTTTTCACATGCCTACATACATATACGTTTTTCCTAAATTCAATTGCGTATAGTGCTTCTAGGAAAAGCAATTGCGAAAATTTCATTGTCCCGCCCCAGAGCCAAGAAAGATGACCTTCCACTACCGTTTTAATAGAATTGCCTCATTTAAATTCTCCACCTTTAGTATAAAGTTTAATGGATTTTCTTACGCAATAAATTCCCGAAATTATAAAACTTCATTGTTTCAAAATTAATGATTCCAGCGAAAATTTTAATTTTTATAATTTTGTTTGAGGTAATTCCGAAATTATTATTATTTGTATCCGGGTTGTTGTTTTCTAACAAGGATTTATATGTAGGTATATAGAAGTTTTTGTTGAAATGCTTTCGTGGAAAATATGTAACAAAATAAAATTGTTATATTTCGAAGAAAAATGTTCCTTTTTAGAAAACCGATTTCAATGAAACGAGGAATTCTCGGAGATGCGATTCAAAAGGGTCCAAAAATAAGGGGAAAAAAGGAGCGCACCACCTGTCAGAATTTATATTGTATAGAGGGTTTTTTATGAGGGGTTCGCAAAAGAGTTTCACTGATGAGGGTTCTTGGAAATTTTTATAAGACATAAGAAGAGATTTTTATGCTTATGAATGTGATTCTTGTAAAGAAATTATTGTATTTTAACTCTTAAGACTAAAATTGAGATTATGTTGTATAAACCAGCCTTAATCTCAAAAGACAAAACTTGTTTAAGTAGGTAAAATGATTCCTTGTTCTCACCTTCTGTAAAATATCCAGCTTATTGGCAAAAAAAAAATTGTCTACTACAATTATCACTATCCAGAAATATATAATTATCACAGAGGAAAACTTCTAACTCCTAAATCAATCCTAAAGGAACTCTTTCACCGCAAATCACTTAAAATCCGCACTACCGAAGATCCAGTTGTTCGAGTTTAGTCGCTTTCGTTTGAAAACAACTTGTAACAATTCCTAACAAAAGTGTCCGAAAAATCATTATTCAATTTTCCTTGTGGCAGTAAAAATTCACTATTCAACGACCGGACAGTTCGAACCTCCGACGTTCTCTGAACTCTCTCTCGCAACAAGTAGTGAAAAACGTTCGTCGTCGATTGCGCGTCAGCTCGAAAATGAGCGGTTTCGTGTACATTTCTTGATACTTAAAGGAACTATGGTGAGGATTTCTCGGTATAGGCTTAAATGTTTAGGTAACCAAATACGAAATGCTGTAGAGATGAACGGGAAGGAGAATGAACGATGGTACTGTTAGTACTGGAGTACCTACTACTCGGAGAAGAATTATTATTCTTTGCTTGAAATACTTTTTGAGCAATTGAGCCTCAATGTTGAATTTTAGTCGAAATTCCCATTTATGTTTTTTGTTCGAATTTTCTTCAAAGTAAGACTAAGACAATTTCCAATTCCAGTTAACAATACTATAAAGTTACCCATTACAAGACTAGAAAAATTGTACATACATATAATAACAATTCATTACATCACTGTACCGAAATGACTTTTCCTGAACACTATACTACCTACCTAAAACCTTTAATTGGTTCGACTTTCCTTTAAAATAGGATCAGAAGACAATTTTTTTCTTTATAATACTAAAAACTAGAAAGATTTACATTACTGTATCAAAATTAAATTTCTTGAAGTACGGAGTACGTACGGTAAATGGGTAATACAAGTACTAGTACTATGTACTTATAGTTTCAAATTTAGTACAGAATAGGTATTACATAAGAGGAAATGAAAATAATAATTACATAGTAGTTACTAAATGGAAAACAACGTCTGAAAATCTTACTCAATTTAGGATAGGTATTATAAAAGTATTATGACAGTTAACTTAAAAGTTAACTTCTGGAATGACGTCACTTTCCATAGTAATTCCTCAAGTTAACTTTTTACTATCTGTCAATATAGTTTTATAATACCTGCCCTTAATCCAGAAACAATCATCGCCTCTAAGGGCCGGTTTCTCAATAGCGAGTCACCTCCGGGTTGGTTTCAACTCCAGAAACGTTTCAAATTGCAATGTTTACCCTGGAATTATGCTTAACCGGCCCCAAGGCTTTTTAAAAATTAGACACAAAGTTTCAAATTGAAGCCTCAATATCTCGGTAACCAAACGAGCTACAGAATTCAATCATGTTTTATCTTGTAGAGCATTAAATTTTGATATAAAATGTTCAATTACATATTAAAATTAGTGGAATATTAACTGAGCTTAAGGTGATATGGCAATACTGCTAATGATACAACAAACGTTAAAAAATTGACATTTCAAAGTAGGCCTTGTTTTCTTTAAAAATCGATACAAAATGGCGTGTCTTTGTTGCCCTGTGGGCTCAAGATTGAAAACACCCTCGCCCTTCGGGCTCATGATTAAAAAAAAGACGCCATTTTAATCCTCTAGCGTTACAGTGTTGCCAAAAGTTAAAAATTTCAATCAGCCTACAACATCATAACAATCGTTTCTTGATGTCAATTGCCACTTGTCAACGTTTTACATTTACAATTACAAATGCTCCAAAATTACTGTTAAAATGTGGCAACGTTGCTGTTGTAGGCCTCAATCTGAATCACAAGGCTGTCAATTGACAAAAAAAGTCATAACAATCGTAGGCGGTCCTGAAAATTAACTCGTCAATTGTCAAAAGTCATAATATTGTATGTAGGTTTGTCAGTTGTCAAAAAAAAAATTGAGTAATTATTCCAAGTGTTTGAACCGGGAACAATCGAAAATTTACTCTGGTGATAGTTTGGCTCGACCAACTGATCATTTAAATTGTTTCCTACTTTATCTCGCTCTTTGTCTTACTCATTTAGAATCGCTTTTGGTTTTTTACTAATGTATCCTACCTTATCTTTTTCTTTATTTTACTCGCTAAAATCTAAAAAACATTATGTTTGAGTTTGTAATTATGGCAACGTTGCTTTTGATCAAGTAGGTCTTGTGCTGTAATGTCATTTGTAATTTTAGACAGTCGGCCATTTTCGAGTGTTTTTATCCAGTGTCTCTTCGAATTTTCCACTTTTCCAGGCCGGTTTCGATCGGGAAAACTGTTAATTATATGCGAGCCCGAAGGGCCGGAGTTCTACGTGAGCCCGAAAAGCCGACGTTATACGCCGGCCCGAAGGGCCGGAGTTGTTTTAATCACGGGGCTGTCTATAATTCTATTGGTCAGCGGATAATTTGGAGCCAATCAAAAACCGGGAATATTCAAAATGCGATTTTTAGAGCCCAATCAAAGAGCCGAGAATATTCAAAAACTTGACTTTGGAATGATGGTTTTCTATTGGGTTTTCTTAAGATTTTTACTTTTTTCAAACAACGGTGGTTTTTGAAAACATATACTACTTTATAGTTGTCTTTGTCTTACTCACTATAATCAACAAGTAAACCTTGTAATGCCATTTTCATTGAAATTAAACTAAAAACAAGTTTCCGATGCTTTATCTAGGGAATTTCAATTATTATAATCATTATTCAATAATTATTTAACAATTTTTAATTGAATTTTAAACAAAAAACTCACTTTAAACGTTATTTTTGTTTTCCGAGATGTAATATGGCAATGTTGCTTTTAGTCGGCCATTTTGAAGTGACGGCTTGTGATTTTTTGCCAGTTTTTCTTCGAATTTTCGACTTTTCTGGGGATTTTTAATGGAAAAAAGCGATTTAACATACGAGGCTTTGAGTTTTCTTCATTTTCTAGCAAAAATTTCCACTTTTAAATGCCATAATTAGCAAAATTCCATTTAAAATGCTTTTGATGTGGCAACACCGCTTGTAGCTAACTTCAATCAAGGCGGCCTTGTAAAAAATATCATTTATCATTTTTGACAGTCGGCCATTTTCATTTTGACGTGTCTACATTTTTATCCAGTTTTTCCTCGAATTTTCCACGGGAAATCGATTTAAAGTACGAGGCTTTGAGTTTCCTTCATTTTGTATCAAAAATTTTGAGTTTTTCAACGGGGTAAGTAACAAAAACTTAAGTTTCATCAAGTAGGCTTTGGAATGTCATTTTCCATGGGTTTTTCTTTTTCTTTTTCTTAAAGTACGAGGCTTTGAGTTTTCTTTATTTTCTGCCGAAAACCTAAACTAAACACAAACTACGTCAACCAAAAACCATAAAATGTGTGCTACATTGGTGACGTCATCTATTTAAGAATCAAAAATTATTGTTATATAGAATTTGCAGAAATACAAATTAATTAGAACATCGATAGTAGACTAAGTAGGCAGTAGGCTAAGACTCTTTGAGAATTTGGAAAAAATAAAAAAATTGAAAATTGTACCAAATATGCCAACGTCGTACCAGCGTACTTTTTCAAAACGAATGGACCAAACCTGGTACAATTGTACCACATCTGGCAACACTGCTGGCTCTTGAATCGAATCAAGTGCCGGGAAAAATCATTCAATTAATTAATTATTCAATATAGCAATTCATTTAGAATGTTGCTACCCTAAATCCGCCATTTTCTTCTTGAAGTCTGATTGTTTGATGATGTGAATGACGTCAGAATTTGATTTGTTAAGCTCTTGTCATGACAAAGCTCAGTAATGATCACTTGATTTAATTGATACTTCAATGTAACAACACTTTTTAGAATGTTTCTACCATAAATCCGCCATTTTCTTCTTGATTTTAAATTGTTTTCTATCAATACTGGGAAAGCCACAAAATGGCGTCAGACATGATTTGATTAATGATCAACTTTTGATTATTCCAAGCCCCTGATGATTTCAATTAAGAGCCGGTAATAATCAACTAATATTTCAATATAGCAAACTTTGTATTTCATACAAAAACCGTACCGACGCTGTTGCCAAACTTAACAGTTTTTCTGAAAACACACAATCTTTTTTATTTTAAATGAAACACTCTCCACCTTCACACAATCCATTTTCACTTAATCAGACAAAGACCAATCAATTGAGACAAAAATAAGTGTGAAGTAGGTACCTATAACATTTTACTTAAGAAATGTTGTGTTCCCACAGACACGGATTGGTGTGTCATCATTTCCGACGTCACAACTAAGTCGTCAGCTGTTTAAACAGCCTACGTCAAGGCGAGAAATAACATGCCGCCTGCGTCACAACTGGTAATTAGGCGGGAAGGAAGAATTTGTTTCACACAGGCCTTATGAGAATAGGCTATCCTGTAGTGGTAGTGTGTATCTTCCTTGAGTATAATGTTTCTACCATAGATCCGCCATTTTCTTCTCGCTTTTTAATGGGAACCTACAAAATGGCATTATAATTTACATTATTTTGATTAGTTGATCTTTTTCAAAGTTCAATTTTTGATTATTCCCAGCTCTTGATTCAGATCAGTTGCCAAAAATATTCACTTGATCAATTCATTTCTCAATGAAGCAACTCTTTTGGGATGTTGCTATCATAATGTTGCCCTTTTCTTTTAGATGTTTGATCAATGTTTATGGGAAGTTTCAAAATGGCGTCAGAATTGGATTTGATTAGTTAATTATTTTCAATGTTCCATTTTTCATAATTTCAGGCCCAACATTTTAATCAAGTGCCGGTAATAATCACTAGGGGCCGAATTGATAGTCGTTCCTTGACTCTTCCTTGGAGGTCATGAGTTTAGAATGGACTTTTGCTACTATTTGACAAGTTATAGTCATGGCAATTCTAAACGTTCACGGCTTCCTTAAGGTCTGAGGAAACCTCAACGAGCGACTATAAATTCGGCCCTAAGGCCCGGTTTATTCATCTTTATATAAACTGCCTGGTAGCTATCTGTAAAATAAATGTATTGGTTGGCAGATAACTAGCTAACCAATGAGATTACAGACTGCGTTTTCATCCTTTACATTAAATGCCTGACAGTTATTTATCAGAAGATAAAAAAACCGGCCCTAAATCAACTAATTCTTCAATGTAGTATATTTCCATTTCTTTCTCTCAGCCTGTTAAAGCAAGAGATAGAAATACATTTTTCTTGCACTAATTGCTACCAATTGGAAATGCCATTAGAATTTTGCTGTCATGAATCCGTCATTTTCTTCTAGATGTGTGATTGTTTAAT